TTTTTTTTTTTCAAACTTACTTGTTTTAAAAAAAAAAAAAAAAAAAAAAACTTGCAATTATGATGCACATTATAGTTAATAATTGTGGACTTCTTTTTTTCAGGGAAAATCATCACATAGACTTGAAAGGGTTCAATATTTTAGCAAGATCACTCTTAAAAGGGGGGAAACAGAAATACCGTAGGGATGGGATACTGCATTGTTTCCTCGAGATTTTTATTTATTCATATATATATATATATATTAACTTGGAAATGGGATAATCGGAACTTAACACTAGTGTTAGATATGTAGAATAACGTTAGGCTATACCATCTTGAAAGGGTTCAATATTTTAGCAAGATCACTCTTAAAAGGGGGGAAACAGAAATACCGTAGGGATGGGATACTGCATTGTTTCCTCGAGATTTTTATTTATTCATATATATATATATATATATTAACTTGGAAATGGGATAATCGGAACTTAACACTAGTGTTAGATATGTAGAATAACGTTAGGTTATACCATCCACCTCTGGTTCACTTCAAAGATTTGTCCCCACTCCACTCTCCTTCTGCTGTAAAAAAAGAAGTAATACAGATATAGCCACTTGTGGTATCTCCTGGAGTCTCTTCAAGTTGTTGCAACGTTTCTTAACTAACCCTTTCGAGTTGTCTCCAATCTAACTATATACATATGAATATACATTATTGTAGTTTGTACGTATATATAGCTCCAGTGCTTACCAAGTTGAGCACGAGTCTTTGGTCGACACGCATATAGATATACATACACCTATATGATATATGTTACCAAGGAAAGCTTGAGCATTTTTGCTGGCTACCATTATCTATGCATATATGTGTGTATATAAATATAGGTCTGGGTGTAATTTTTTAGGGTAATTTTCTAAATATTGTGGCCTACTTAAAAATACTCATAAGGTTAGCTAAGAAGTTAAAGTACAAAGTGTACGCATCTTTTCTTGTTGAATTAGCACTTGTTGAGTCCTCCATAAACTTCTGATTCCATCCAAATTTGATGGTCGTGTGGAATGGGGAAACAATCCATGATTGAAAATAAAACGACTATGGTTTTTCTTTAAATGTTTTCTACTCGCTTTTTTTTATTCGAGTTATTCTGTTAATCTCATCTTGTTATAATTTAAAATATAGTAATAAGGTTCCGTTTCGTAAGAGAGATGGAGAGTATGAAGGATAGAAAGAGTTAGAGAGATGAAAAATAAGAAGAATAGATAGGATTATAGTAATCCTTCGTGTTGTTTGATATGAGTAAGAGAGAATTAAAAGGATGGATGATAGTTGTTTGTCCAATTACTATACTGTCCAATTTATTTATTTGGTAATAATATCTTTTAGAGGAAAAATAGATTTTTAGTTCTAAAATGAGATAAATTAGTTGGATCTTTTCATTGACGAAATGATCTAAATTAGAGACTCTCTCCCTCCATGCCTCCTCGTCCTTCTCTCATCGATGTAATCAAACAAAAGAATTATTCTCTCCTCTACCTCTCTCCCTACACTCCTCTCACTCTCCCCCCATCTCTCCTTCTTACCAAACACACTCCAAAGCTGACACAGTAATATTCTAGATTAGTATTTCTTCTTTCGCTTTCTGAAAATATATTATCGCTTAGCATTTAATGGCAGCTACACTTGTGTTTGTCGTAATAAGACAAATTTGAAAAAAAATAAAAATAAAAATAAAAGAGATCAAAGTGGTAGTAGTAGGGCTGTAGGCCCCGGAATACTGAGAATATTATTTTTAAGTCCATTCCAAATGCATATACTGTTAGCCTCAGCAAAAGAATACAATAATATGATTAGCCCAAAAGAAAAACGAATGCAATGATATGATTAATGTCTTTTTTAATTTTTTTTTTTTTTTTTTTTTTTTTTTTTTCAAAATGTCATGATTTTGTCTTTGTATTAGCAGCAGAGCTAAGATTTTCTTTCTTTCTTTTTTCACAATTTTTTCCATCATTTGTCCTCGACTTTTTAATGACAATATTCACATAATTTTTTGAAAATTTATTATACCCTAAGTTTAAATTTTTAAGTACTCACATTTTAAACTTAAAATATCAAATTAATTAAAAATTAAATATACTACTGTATAAATATAAATGCACAATTTTGGACGATTTTACTTTAAAAATTAAATTAAACTCATTTCAAGTTTATTTCATTTGAGGAAAACAAAATTGGAGACACTTATAGCTAAAACCAAAGTAAAAGAATATTGTATTGTAATTTTATGTCAAAATTTTGTTTTTCAAAAAAAAGAAAAAAAGAAGTTTCGCGTCTCTATATCAATTATCATGTAATGGGAAAGGGAGGACGATACTAAAAGTCTGCAAAGTTGTTTATTTCTTTATTTTATTTACTATTTCCATAAAACTCTAATTTTTTTTTTTTTTTTGAGTAGCACAAAAACTCTAAATTGAATATTCAAACATTGATCAAGTAGACAATTATTTTACGTACGGTAAACACATGCTCTATGTAGTGAAATTAAGTCTGGGAATGTTGCATGGGAAATCAACGCAGCTGTCATATTTCGTGTTGAATTTGTGTCTAGAAAGACAATAATTTGCTTATGGCACGCTTATCCGTGACTAATCCAGCAAGAGGCATATATACACGTTTCCAATTTTACATAAGATACGATCAACGTTTCAATGGCTTCGGCAGAATTTTTTGTCAATATTAATACGTACATAAACGCACATAATATTTGATAAAACGCAGAAATTCAGTTTCCCCAAATCTTGGCTTACTATTTCTTATTTTTTTAAATGAAAGTCGAGTTTGGGACTGCTGGAAATTCAAAGTGAAAACTTTAGAAGACTTCCTCAAATATTAAAAGTCTCTAAAGATTGAATCATATATCTGTAGTTTATTACAATAATTTATTGCTGAGAAAATTCTGAATTTTACTTAAAATTTTTTCCCGGAAAATTTTACTCATTTATTTCCTAAGTTTCTTACACGTCATGTGCAAGGCACGTACGGAATTGAAGCTTATAATCTATGATCACAAGTTGTATAGTGGATAAAGACTGAAGAGTCCCTATATATTATTTTAGCAAAAAGCTAGGAAAGGTACCTATCAAAAAGAAAAAGAAGACAGAAAAAAAGGGAAAGATTATGATGTTTACTAAAACAGAATACAAAGATGTTTCTAAATTTGAATCTTAAGAAAGTAATTATGTGTATTGTGCTAATTTATGGCCCATGAGTGTTGGCCTAATTAGATTAATTAATTGGCTAATGACTTGGTGATTACCATGATACAGCTAGAATATCTAGATTGATCCCTACACACACACACACATATGTAACCTTGCACCATAGAACTTTAAATAATTAATGTATGTGGAATCCCGGACCTATTCTTGACATTTTTATACGTGGACAACCAAAATGATTATTTTCTTCATTTTGGTATAATAAAAAATTACTCGAGCTCTTTGAAACTATTAACAATTTCTCAAATTGATTAATTTATCTTCTCCTCCTTCTTCTTCTTCTTTTTTGTTTTTTGTTTTTAAAAAAAGAGTTTTATAAACTAATAATCTTATCAATATATCCTTTATGACATTTTTTTTATTTATAGTCTTTTGTAATAGAGTATATTTCATAACGTAATCATGGACTTACATATAATTACATCCAAATCATATCAAAACAAAAAAAAACAAATTTAATGAAATTTAATAAAAATTTGATGGTATAAAAGAAATGCCAAAATCTTCAATATCTCTGGTTAAAATCTCCCTTGACGAATTATGAAAAAGGCATATATATTGCTAGGAGTACTTGTACGTGTTTCTTTCCAAATAGTCAAATTTCTATTAGAGTTTATCTTTAACGAAATTAAAGTTCAACCTCTCAGAATAAGAAAAGAAAATTTTTCATTTTCAACAAAAAAAAAAAAAGAAAATTTTCTATTTCTGCAGCCAGAGATTTTCAGTCCTGCTCATAATTTCTTAGACTTCGCTGCTCACAAGCTTTTGTAGATGGCACTCTCCCCCGGGTTCTTGCGCTAGGTTGTATGGCTGTGGTACAATTGATTAATGACTATTTTATTACAAAAAAGAAAAAAAAAAAAAGGAAAAGAAAAGAAAGAAAGAAAGAAAATGAGGAGTTCTAGTTGAATGTTGATTGACGAGGCAAAGAGATGTAAGGAGTCTAGGACATTAATTAATTATGTTATTAAAAAAGGAAGGAAAATAATTACGTTGAAACATATTGTAATATAATATCCAGGAGCACGATTGAAAAAACGAATTAATAATGAAATAAGAAAGAATGAGTAATGTCAATTTGATGTGCAATATAATATTCCAGCGACTTTATCCAGCAGATTAAGTAACAGATCACTCAACAAGCAAATAAACTTTAGATACGCAAACACACACATATTGTTTATAATCACTCTTTGTTCAAGGATAATTCCGGGCACTATTTTTTTCAAAAGAAATAAAATTGCTATTGTTTACCGTTTGTGAAAAAACCACCTATTATATATGCTAAACAAAGAAAAGAAAACGAGTGATATATATTCATATTTCAATAAAGGTGGTTTTTCATTCAGCTAAAAAAATAAAATAATACCGTTGTAGATATAACAGAAATACCAAATTAATCGATGTAGCAAACAACTCATTAGAATAAACAAAACATCTAACTCGTTGCTTTGATTAAAGAAAAGAGATAACTTTTTTCAATATAACTCAATTGGTGTGCATAATACATAAACGAGACTAATTTGACCTCATGAAAATTAAATCTTTAGAATCTAATTTATTGCCTAAATAGAGAAGAGAACCACGACTAGATAGAGATATGCGCAAACAAATTACTCATTAATATTCAAGCAAAAAAAAAAAAAAAAAACTCATCAATAAGTACTACTATGAAAGGAGATCCGACTATATATATATATATATAAAATTATAAATTTATTAAAGAAGGAAAAAAATTTATAAAAATTTAAAAAAGAACTGAGAGAGATCCTCTAGGGAGTTCCTCCCTGGTAGAATAGTCACACATACAATTATAGCTACACATATGTACGTATATATATGAAGGAGTTTTCAATAGCTACTTTTCTGTCGTTAATTGGTTACCCTATCAAATATAGAAATTTGACGATGCTACATGATCAAAATCTAATTTTACTAATTACCATAACTTTTCTCTTTTTCAACAACTCAATTTATTACAGCTGTATATCAGATCAATAATTTATGGTTAAAACAATAATATATGTCTATACTGATAGAATACAAATATTAAAATAATCATTAAAATCATGAAAGGAGATCCGACTATATATATATATATATAAAATTATAAATTTATTAAAGAAGGAAAAAATTTATAAAAATTTAAAAAAGAACTGAGAGAGATCCTCTAGGGAGTTCCTCCCTGGTAGAATAGTCACACATACAATTATAGCTACACATATGTACGTATATATATGAAAGAGTTTTCAATAGCTACTTTTCTGTCGTTAATTGGTTACCCTATCAAATATAGAAATTTGACGATGCTACACGATCAAAATCTAATTTTACTAATTATCATAACTTTTCTCTTTTTCAACAACTCAATTTATTACAGCTGTGTATCAGATCAATAATTTATGGTTAAAACAATAATATATGTCTATACTGATAGAATACAAATATTAAAATAATAATTAAAATCACACTTATATATAAAATATATAATGAAGAAAATAATATTTGTAAATTACGAATTATATTATAATCATATATATTTGTGTCCCTGTGTGTACGTATATAATATATTAACACACATTTTTGTACCTAATATATATGTATGTAAAACTATAGACGTTTTGAAGTTTGACCCTTCTTTTCAAAGCCTAAATCACACCTTTCAAATATTTTATATATGTTACGACGTTTTCCATTCATTATTTTATTGTCTAACATATAAAATTCACATTTTCAAATAAATAAATTAATAAATAAATAATCACAAAAAGAATAGTTTTAAACTCCTGCTGCGCCACTCTATATAAAGACATATGCATGGTGGAGACAACATTTCTCCTAACTAGCTAGCCAAAACAATTATCAGTAATTAATGGCATCACAAGTCCCACTTATATTCTTTAGGCTCCTAATTATAATTATACTTCTTTTTGGCTATTCAGCTATAATTAGCAGTGTAGCTCAAAAGACACCAAGTCAGTATGACACTGTTTTCCTCAACAGAAGCAGTTTCCCACCTGGTTTTATCTTCGGAACAGCTTCATCAGCTTATCAGGTAATTGATTAATTACGACTAAATCGAGATTTTATAACATTAATCTGCAGTCTGAAGAACGATATTCTAGTTTTTAAGGCTTTTCCTTTTCTTTTTACTGAGTTATTTGCGATGCCGAAGTAGATAATGCATACATCTGTGGTTGAGAATTTCAGTACGAAGGTTCTGTGAAAGAAGGTGGGAGAGGACCAAGTATATGGGATATTTACACCCACAAATACCCAGGTTTTTTTCCCTTATCTTTCTCTTTATCTTTCTACTAATCTCTCTCTTTTTTTCTCTTTTAACGTTAGTCAGTTATTTTCTTTAGTAATTTATTTTAAAAAATATAATTTTTTTCTATGAATAGTTTATTTTAAAATACTTCCTCTCTCTCTCTCTTCTTTATTTCAACAGTAACTTGCTCTGTTTTTCTGTTTGTTTCTTTTTGTTTTTCAAAAGAAAATTTTGTCGGTTAGCATCTAGATATGTGTGTCTTTCATATATATTATATGCCCTTTCGGTTTCTACCAGCAAGTTGCTACTTGTACAGAAAACTGAAAATATCAAAAAGCCGATTCGAAATCTGTATGTAAATGGATTTTTTCTCCAGAGAACAATATATATATATATATATATATATCATATAATTATATATATTATCAGTCTAAGTTCGAATCTAAAAATCAGTTTTTTATATTTTCTTTTTATGAAGAATAAATTTTTAAATCCTGCCAACCATTTGCAATAAGAACTGCCAATACAGAATCTTTAAGAGGAAAAAAGAGAATTTTATGTTGGGATGTAAATCGAAAGGACTTCAAGAGTAGAGTTCTCGTTTAGATCTGTGTTAATTGTCAGTTTTGCATTCTTTTTTCTTTTTGTTATATATATATATAGATATTTTGTTTTGTTACGATATTGACTATTCAATGTTGAGAAACGTATACGGATAGGGGGAACCTGCCACACCTTTTTTTTTTTTTTTCTTTTTTCTTTGTTTTTAATGAGTGAGAAAACTAGACATTATTTAAGGGAACCTAATTAATTCCAAAGGTAAAGAAACAACTATTGCTGCAATTTTTCATGGCCAACACGAAAAAACAAATCCATGATTAAAAACCTCTTGAAATGGAGTACGAGGAGATTGCACTTCGATGCTTAAGTTAGTAAACACAGAGAGAATTTGACCTCCGACATTAATGCGGATTCAAGATCATATATAGTTTGTTTGGAAGGAGAAGCACATATATCATTTGCTCAATAATAAAAAATAAAAAAAATCCATGCTTGGACCCAAAAAAAAAAAAAAAGTGTACGTTACCCAGATTATGTTCGTCCATGTTGCCTTTGAGAGGAGCAAATACGACAAAAATCCTCTCAACAACCATAATTAACTCACAAACCTAAAGTTAAGACTTAAGAAAAAAATAGAACTAATCTTACAAGTAAAATAGAATTAAATAAACGAACAAAAAGAGAACTCTTAGCAGATCAACAAGCCTAAGTATATTAATTAGTATCTATTACAATTAGGTGGCTGGGATTTCCTCCCCTAAAAAAAGAAAAGAATTAAAAGGTGGGGTTTTGTAATAAGTAAAACCTAAAGAAACTTTTATCTATTAATTAAATTGCAATGCCGTGATCTGATCACAATTGGAATGTTTTTTTGCTTCATTTTTTTTATATTATTTTTTAAATGAACTTTTATATATCAAGAACAACAACAATAAATACAAGCCTTAATCCCAAATTAATTAATGCCGGCTATATAAATTTCTCGTTTCTAGTCTGCTCTATTAAACACTAGACCCTCCTGAAGCCCTAGATTTTAAAAGTCGTGCCTAACTACGGCAGCCAAAGTAATTCTTAGTCCACCCCTCACTCTCCTAGTACTAGGTATTTGGATGTTCTCCCAAGCACGAACATATGCTTCTAACGTACATGCCCGTACCACCTCAGACGGTTTTTCCGAACTTTATCTTCTATGGGTGCTACACCTACTTTACTATGAATAACTTCATTTTGTACACGATCCATCTTCATATGGCCACTCATCTATCTTTACATACACATCTCCGCCACACTCATCTTTTATATATATATATATATATTGTATTATGAATCAACAGCCAATCATAATACTTGAAAAGTTGCCACACCACAAGAAAACCTCCGACAAACATTTTCATTTTATGCCATCCTAGTGTCGCCTTAACTAATCAATATTGCACAGACATAGGGTCCCGACATAACAATAGATATATAATTTATTGAAAGTGGTCAAGAGGAAATTGATTATCATATTGATTCTAGTTATTTCCTTTCCGCTCGATCAGTGGAGAGATAAAATTAAAGCAAATAAAAAATGTTATGATTAAAAATTGATACTTTTTCCATTTGGCTTAATGAACTGTGAGAGAAATAAACTGATATCAAAGACAATAGCAACCAAAAAAACACTTGGAAATAATGCACAATAATTAACAATAATTAGCTGATATGTTTTGTGTAGCTGATTCAAATAAAGCACTCTAAGGTTTAAGTACGTTATCTCTTTTAATAAAAGAAAAGTAAAAGGTGTAAAATAGCAAGGTATCATAACAATCCCGAATAATGTTATTGATTATTGACGGTGTTTAAAACCACTCACTGATAAAAGGTAATTTTCATAATATGAGGCTGACAATAATGTTATTGATTATTGGCGGTGTTTAAAACTACTCACTAGTAGAAGGTAATTTTCATAATATGAGACTCACAGATAAGACTCACTTTCTGTTAGTGGTGATGTTTAGCACTGGTAGTATTCTATAGGTAAGTTTCTAACAAAATACGGAAAATTGAAAAACGTTACGTACCGAAAGGAGCGAAACTAAAGTATGAACTCTAAAGCACGTGCCTACAAAATTGACTATTGAGCTATGAAATAGTTCACCTTCCCGGGCCAAGAATATAAGTCAAAGTGTATGGCGGAGATATCTTATCTTATGTTATTGTTCGACGCTAATTATTTAATCACATCGCTTCCATCAAAGAAAGAAAATACCACAAACATATTTATCTATGATGTGTCACACAATGTCGTCCAAACAACCAGACACGTATTTCAGAGAAGTGGTAGGGAATTGATGAACTTTTTGTAGAAAATTAACAACGCGTTAGCTAGATTAGAATATTTTTCATACTTCGTACTTTTCCTTATATATGGTTAGCGTGTACGATATAAACTTATATTTACTGAAACAAAGTTAAATTAAATTAAAAAGGGAATATTTTCACCTTCATTAATTTGAGAAAAAAATAATATTAGCTGATTGGTTTTTAAGTTCTGTGAACTATCTCTATCAAAAGCAATATATATATATATATATGTATGTATTGTAGTCCAGTTCTGGCTTTGACTAAATTTTTTTTTTTTTAACAAAGATCTTTATTGAGGCTTTAGATACATATAAGTTAGGATGAGAAAAAATAATAATAATTTTTTAACGATGAGAAACAAACAAGTGACTTATAACAAATTTGCCGCTGCTAATTAGTACTAGCCTAATTGGTAAGAATGTGGTTGTTTAAGCAAGAGCTCCAACATTCAAATTCTAGGAACAACAATATATTATGGATTGAAAAAAGAAACAAAAAACTTAGGGATATGTATGCCGACAAAATAAATGCAATAATACTTACATAACAGCCACTAGCCGGTAGATATCTTGTGTTTCCATATTTTTTATATTTTTGTTACTGTTCTTTTCCTTTTATTTTTATAGACGGTTTGTATATATGTGGACTATCCTGTTTATTAAAAGAAATTTCATGTGGTGCATTGCAGAAAGGATAGAGAATGGGAGCAACGGGGATGTGGCAAATGATGAGTATCACCGCTACAAGGTGAAAATAATTTAATAAATCTTTGTACTTAATTCATCTTTATACTAATTTTACTCAATGCTCGTTATATAGGAAGATGTGAGAAATATGAAGGAAATGAATTTGGATGCTTATAGATTTTCTATCTCATGGTCCAGGTTGTTGCCAAGTAAGTTCGTTGTTTTTAATCTTCAACCAAAAAAAAAAAAAAAAAAACTCGTTGTTATCAATCACCGTTATCCTCATATACCATTTAGAGATAAATATACTACAAATTATTGTGATACTAGCCACTTGGATAGAATCATGCCCATATTTACTCGTTGTTTAATTACTTTCTGTTAAAGGTCTTATATATTAATATTATCACATATAATTATGTTTCAGATGGGAAACTTAGTGGGGGTGTGAACAAGGAAGGAATCAAGTACTACAGCAATCTGATCAACGAACTCCTAGCCAATGGTGATGATTTCTTATACCTATATCGTATTCAATGTCTGTATACGTTATACCAACTAAATCCTATATTCAATGTTTAACATTGTTAGGTTTGAAGCCGTTTGTGACTCTCTTTCACTGGGATCTTCCCCAAGCTCTTGAGGATGAGTATGGCGGTTTCTTGAGCCCTCACATCGTGTAAGTGTTGCAAAAATCTTTGTCACCTTAATTAAACCAATTTATACTTTTTCATCGATGTGCACAAGTGTAATTTACGAGCATAATCTAGCGATAAATCTGCACTCAACTCCATTTTACCGTGTAGAGTTCAAACTCCCACTTCAAGCTAAAAGAAAAGTTCGCACATTTATTGATGTTGATATATCTTCATGAGTTTTTGGCTCATATATTACGTTGTTATTTGTATGCATGTAGAAACCATTTTAAGGACTACGCAGAGCTTTGTTTTAAAGAATTTGGAGACAGGGTGAAGCATTGGATCACCTTGAATGAGCCATGGTCCTACTCTATAGGTGGTTATTCAGAGGGGTTTTTTCCGCCGGGTCGATGTTCTGATTGGCAAAACTTAAATTGTACGGGTGGAGATTCAGGAACAGAACCATATTTGGTGTCCCACTATCAACTCCTCTCTCATGCCACTGCCGTCAAACTATACAAGGAGAAGTATCAGGTCACATTTGTATAAATTTGATAATTACAAATTATTCTACTATCTAATAATAAGAAAATTTTAAAAGTTTTTTTGCTCATAGTAAGGAAATTAAATTAAGTTGTTTATTTAAGATTTTAATTGTTTCACTATAATGGAATTGCTAAAAATTATGTGCAGGCGTCTCAAAAGGGCGTGATAGGAATAGCGCTGGTGTCAAATTGGTTTGTGCCGTTTTCTAACGCAAAGCAGCACCAAAACACTGCGCTACGAGCCATCGATTTCATGTTTGGATGGTATTAAACTAACTGAAGCACTACATATATATATATTTTGTAAAGTCTGATTTCACGCTGGTGTTACAAAGAGTGTTACAACACTTTTAGCAACACTTGTAATTAACTATTACGTTCTGAGAACACTAAAAATGATATCACAGTTCAGTACGTACACCTACATCTGCGGGGCCACGCCTAGATAGTGAATAATCCACTAAGTTCAAAGATTTACAGTCACCAATCGGTCTTACATATATATATCATACATGTTTTCGTATAGTATTTTTATTAATTTTTCAATCAAATGATATTCACTTTTTAATTCCCTTCAATGTTGTCATTGCAGGTTTATGGACCCCTTGGCAAATGGTGACTATCCGCATAGCATGCGATCTCTAGTTGGAAAGCGATTGCCCAAGTTCACGAAAGAGGAATCTAAACTTGTTAAAGGGTCATTTGACTTTCTAGGATTGAACTACTACACTACTAATTATGCAGCTTATGCGTCTAATCACAATTCTGTCAACGGCAGCTATACAACAGATGCCCAAGCAAATCTTACACGTACGTGTGTGTGTCTATATATATATATATATACACATATATATAGTTAAATTAACCCGATTAATTTATTTTGAAGATATTATTATTTCTAATTCTCTATTAATAATAGAATCTTCTTAATTTATCTTTGATCATATAAATGTTCTCGTGGCAGCCCAACGAAATGGCGTCCCCATTGGTCCGAAGGTGTGTACAAATCATAATCATTAATTATACTTGACTCTTGATGAGCATTATTACTACTAGCTAGCTGCTGTTACTACTACCACCACTATCACCACCACCAATTATTAGTAGTATTATTGTTATTGCTTTTTTAATTTTTCTTACTTGAACTTTAGTAAGTTACCAATACCGACGTTCTTATTCTTTTGCTTTGTATAATATGGCAATATTATTATTGCAGGCGGCTTCAGAATGGCTCTATGTCTATCCGGTTGGAATTCATGAGATTTTACTGTATACAAAGAGAATGTATTACAATCCACTAATTTACATCACGGAGAACGGTAATGAACAACAATTTCATGCGTTTGTGTGTGTGTGTATATATATATGTATGTATTTACTGTAGTTATCAATATATAACATGCAAGTGATCTTTTCTGAAATTCGCACTAATTAATTACATGTTACAGGGATTGATGAGTTTAATGATCCTAAATTATCCCTTGAACAAGCCCTTAATGACACCCAAAGAATTGATTACCACTTCCGCCATCTCTCTTACCTTCGAAAAGCGATCAAGTAAGTCCTTTATTAACTAGCTCGCTAAAGAACCTTTTAATTAACTTGCATCTCTTTCAGAGCTGCAAGTTTAAGCCAGGTTAAATGGGCTGGTCTGAGATTCGTCACTATTGGCTCAAGCCCGATCTTAAACTTTTTAGGTTTAGGATTGAACTGAGCAGACCCTCTCTCCTTTAGAGTTGGCCCGACCCGGCATAAACATCATATTTTTAAATATTTTTTTTTGAAAATACCTTATAAAATTTCGAGCCGGACCAGACCGGCCCTAAACTTTTTGAGCTTAGGGCTAGGTTGGGCCGTCCCTCTCTTTTTTAGAGTCAGGCCAGGCGGTCCAAACTTATACCTTTAATCTCTTTACACGGATCAATTTATCTAATTTCACTAAAGATGACTTGATCATTTGGCTAATCCCATATTGATCTTAATTAATTTTTTATACTGCAGGGACGGGGTCAATGTGAAGGGATACTTTGCATGGTCTTTGCTCGACAACTTCGAATGGTTTTCAGGTTACAGTGTTCGGTTTGGCATTAACTATGTGGATTACAACAATGAACAGAAAAGATACCCCAAACTCTCGGCACATTGGTTTAAGAAATTCCTCAAGAAATATTAATGAAACTATATGTTATATATATATATATATATATTCTGATGGCCACACTTCAGATCTTACTCTTTAATCCTATCAATAAGATGTCGTATAAAGGGATAGATTCTCATTTATATCCATATACAATATGTCTACCAATAATATAAGGTAATTTGTGCCTTTATTAATTGTAAGCAGTAAAGTGTTTTCAAGTTCAAAATAAAAATGTTAAGTAGAACACGCAACTTCCGAATGACTTTCTCGGAGGTCCTGGATCATAACTGATATAGGGCTTAAGAGTTGAGCTTAACAAACCAAGTATATGCTAGCACGATAGAAACTTTGAGAAGATAAAATTGTTCTTAGGGGTGGAGTAGTTCAAATATCATCTTGATCCCTTGCACTTTTCACGAAAATTAAATGCGGCAATTTTGTGTTATTTATCCAATCAATACTTCTATATAAAGTAGTTGAGATAACACAAAGATTAATCATAGAGGATTTAAAAATTTCAATTAAAGAATTCGATAACGTTTATGTCAGTGTCATCTATAGCACACCCCTACAGAGTGTTATTGAACCGATATATTTTCTTGAAAAGATGGTTTTCAATGCCTATTGTCCTAGTAATCCAGCAGTTGAACGTTGATAATCTACCTGTTTACTACTCTTATTTCGTTCCTTTTATACTTGTGGTTCTCAAAGGGATCATAATTTGAATTCTCATTACAGCAGACAATAGAAGCTGTTAGATCTAAAGTTACGTCTGGTGTCCCAGATGATGTTGGAACACTATCTGGGACATTATTAGCTTAGTTTACTCTACTGATTAACTTAGCCAATGAATAACAACAATGCAGAAAGTAAATAGACACGCAATAAGATATCGCAGTTTGGTGCGCACACCTACTCTGCGGGGCCACGCCCAGATAATAAACAGTTTCACTATGACATAAGAATTACAACACTGACAGACTTATTCACTCAAGGACTCTCTCCTGGACTATGACGGTGCTTATGATGAATCCTCACAATGACTTTGTTTAGCGTGCTCCACACGTCTTCAGATTCAGCAACTGAACCCCCTTCAGTCAGACATACTTTCGTACAAAAATTCTCAGAAATTTCAACGAGTTCTTTCTTCACAGCATACCCTCTGAAAATTTCTTCAACTCCAAAAACGTCACCTTTTTTCCAGTAACAGAATCCTTTTATATCGTTCTCAAAGAAGTTCACCGAATCTTGTTCAAAAAATTATTCTCTTATTTTTTCTTATCTTTTTCTCCATGATTCTCTCTGATGTGATTTGCATGATCTTCTTTTAAATTTGAATTCCAAACCCTTCGGATTATCCACCATGATTTCTAAATCCGAACCTCCTTAGAAAATCAGATCAAGTTCAAATTCAAACAAAATATCGAGATCTTCACTTGCTTTGCTTTATCTTCTCCCTATTTATTGGCAACAACTAATCTACACAATCCACCAACTCCACTGTGGTAATCCGAAATACCATGTTGATCTCTAGTTGCTATTTTATGGACCTTTACATACAAAAAAACTTAGTTTACCAAACAGCCAACTAACAAAATATCATAACAGGGGTTGCAAAACTTGAAACAAAGATATAAAATTCAGCATTTTGCACACCTTACTCATTCCACGTATGATGCGCCTGTGGTTTCTTTGTCAGAATATAAAAGGACACCCCTTCACTCTTTGTGGTTCCCAAAGAGTTTATAACTTGAATTCTCATTCTTATTCACAAATTTAATGTAATAGATATTATTTTCCTTTCAATTATTTCCAACAAATTATGAGAGTAATAAGTAAAACACGCACGCAAACTAGATTAATTGTAGGCGTGTTGTCTTTTTTTTTTTTCCTAAAAAAAATGGGCAAGTTTCAATGATATCTTTAATCTTTGAAAAAATTAAAGTCTAATCACAAAGTTGGTTACAAGAAAAGTTCCACGTGGTAGGTGATACCAAAGTGATCGTGGATTAATTATTTTGCAAATGGCTTGATCCCACTTTTCACGAAAGATTTGGAGCTACGGAATGCATTATTACATTACACTTTCCAAAGTTTGAGTCAAATATATCGGGGCTTAAAATATTCACTTGTTGTTAGGTGAGTAACTTAAATTAGTTTTAAAATAGTAATAAATTTTGTATTTTTTAGGTAAGTTACTATTTTTTATTTTTGAACAAGAGTTATTAAGAGTTTATAAATAAGTTTTTTATGTGAGGTTTTATGCGTGTTCAGAGAAAAATATAGAGACAGAGTGCCTATTTTTAAGAGAGAAAAGTGAGGAGAGCGTAAGGGGTTTTAAGTAGAGAGAGAAAGTGAAAGTTTGTTAAATGTGTAACTCTGAAACTGTTATTGAATTTTTCTTTATTTTCCACGAATTATGCTTTAAAAATTGTATTTTAATCCATTTATTGTCTTTATTTATGGCTTGTAACGACCATGGTATAGATAAATTGCTCCCAACGACTTTACGGCCCCGTTTATTTCACCGATTCGAGTTTAGAATTTGAGTTTTGTTACAGTAAAAAGCTCTTAGATACAATCACATCTAACTTTTTTTGCTACAGTAAAAAGCTCTCATATAAAATCACATCTCAACTCGAATTGGTGAACTAAACGGTACATAATTTATGTATAAATATATTTGTAACTCGTTTAGTTCGATGATTTGAGTTTTTAAATTGTATTTTTAAGAAATTTATTGTGTTTATTTGTGGATGTGTGTGCGGTTGATTAGCATTGATATAATTTATAAGTGAATTAATTAATAGCCTCGTGATGATAACCATCATGTATACAAGTACTAGATTGGATCCCAATTTTTCTGTTATACATGAGGAGCGCACATTTTCATCGGTAGTCAGTTTATATCAATAAACTAATAAATAACTGTTATTTTATATTATATTTCATTTTCATCCACCTAATTATTGCATACTATCTATGTTAATGCGTTAAGCTAAAAGATAAGTCAAGCAGCACGTGGTTTTATACCAGAACCTTTTTATAACCTTACCAAAGAATTCTCGTGAACACCTAGATTTATCCCAACTTTTGTGTATTACATATATATACATATAAAATATATATATTTATAAACTCAACAATAGAATAAATAACTGTTATTTTATATTATATTTCGTTTTAATCCACTTAATTATCACACGCTATCTATATATGATAGTGCATTGGGTTAAACGATAAAGTCATGTAGCGTGTGCTTTAGAATTTGTTTACCTTACGAAAGAATTCTTTTAAAACAAAGTTAAAATAAGTTTTGCCACTTGTTTTATTTTGTTTTGTTTTGTTTTTTTGTTTTGTTTTTTTTTTTTCTACTAATAGAAATTGTTGTTTTAGCTATTGGATTAATTTTTTTAGCATTCTAATTATGCGTATCTATATTAAAAATTTAGAGCACATAACACAAAATTATTTCCAATCATAAATCATATCAGTTAATTATAAATCTAAAACTAAAACAACAATACCTATCGATAAGGAAAAAAAACAGATTATACCGTAGAAATTCCTTTCATTGATTCATAGTTTCAATTTTATTATATGTTATAATACATATGTTATCGATAACTAATTAATTACACGTTACAGGGATTGATGAGTTTAATGATCCTAAATTATTCATTGAACAAGCTCTTAATGACACCCAAAGAATTGATTACCACTTCCGCCATCTCTCTTACCTTCGAAAAGCGATCAAGTAAGTCCTTTATTAACTAGCTCACCTTTTAATTAACTTGCATCTTTTTTAGAGCTGTAAGTTTGAGCCAGGTTAAACAAGCCGGTCTGAGACTTGTTACTGTCGGCTCGGACCTGATCCTAAATTGTTAAGGCTTAGGATCGGGCTAGGCCTATCCTCTCTGGGCCGATCCTATCTCTTTTAGAGTCGACCCTGCCCGGCACAAACCTAATATTTTTAAAGCTTTAAAAAAAAATATATCTTATAAGATTTCGGCAAGGTCTTTAATCCGGCGGTTACTATTTACCTGACTGAAATGGCATATGTACAATTCTGTCATTTTCGTGTATATTTATATATAAGGTGTGTATATTTACATATAAAGATGTATATGTTAAGTTATAAGAAACGACAATGTATATTAATCCTCAAAATATGTATTTTTTATAGCAATTAAGTGAACACATAGCATAAAAATATGTATATTGACTGATTTGTTGTATTTCATGTTAATGAACGTAAGCGACAATGTATATAGCGAAATATGCTTTTAGTATCTTGTGTTCTTGATAATATTAAAATGACACCTCAACATTTTTAAAAATATATTCTTGGTACTCTGAAGTTGATTTTTAAGATGTAAAATGACCTTAGTACTCTTTTACTTAATATTATTTAAGTATTTTATTTTATTATTTTAATGTCTTAAAATATTTTCATTTTTTTTAAGAAATTAGTAAAAATAGGCACGTGCAATTGCATGAATTTGACTGTTATATTTATTGTCTATTAGAAAAATAATTTTATGATGTAAACAAATAAGTTCTAACTAATCGCCATACTCTATTATTTTTCTTAACATTTAGACC